CGTGCCGTGTCGAACATCAGCCACGCACGGCTCTTGAGAAGCGTGCACAGTAGCAGTAATAGAGATCAACTCTGATAAACTACGTGTCAAGCTACTCAATGCGCGCTACGAAAACACCCAAATTTGATTATTAATATGAGAATTCGAAATGGAGGATATCAAAAAACATCTAAACTTATTCCTTTCTCCATTTGCGAAAGAATAGCATATTGATTGATATCTAGTTTGAGCCTAGTTTAGAACCAAAAAATAGAAGAAGAAATGCATGACCGGCGCCCTGATAATCCATCTGTTCAAAGCTGTCGTCAGAGTACATTTTCCACATAAATATATATACGGTGAGGTTTACAGATTAAATAAAAATTGGGAGCACAGTGTACTATTTAGCTACTGAAGTCATGCAACAAACGAAAATTGTCTAAAACGGGGCCGCGGTGACCGAATGGTATAGGTCGTCTAACCATTTGTATCGTAGGTCGTGAGTTCGAAACCCGCCGCAGTCGGTCTACTTTCACACTTTTTATTTGGAAGCCACATTCCCCCGAGGTCTCCCTGTAAATCTCCATTTAATGATGCGTACTCATCTAGTTGATCGTAAGCTTACCGGAGGGAAGGATTCTCGACAAAATCTCAAAAAGCGCATCGGTTTTCTGTGTGTGTTAATGAACAGCATCCCCATAAGTCCGGAATCTCTGCACTTTGTGAAATCCATCGTTACTGGACGAGCATGGACTCGTTAAGTTGCACAATTCCGTCTCAGCCTCATGTTCACAAAATCATTCAGGAGTTCAAAAGCGAATCGTGCCTCCAAATCTCATCCGTGCCCTTCCTACAGAAAGCTAGGAAAGGTTATCTACTCGGTATGATCCAAGAAACCGGCAGTTGCGCTATCCACGCTAAGCATAATGCCTAAACATGTATGCTTCCTTGGTTTTTATTGTATTGCAAATCGAGTAAACAGAAGAAAAATATTAGCAACAGTGGGATATACAATTGTCCTTTGTTCATCACAGTCTAGTGTAATTTTCCATTGATAAACATAGGCAGCCCACTACAGATCGGTGTATGGAGCAAAGTGGTAATTCTTGAACCACAATAACAACCAGACCGAATCAAAATATAAAATATATTGTTCTTAACAATCACGCGTTAAAATCGTGCCTTGTTTTGGAATCAAATCTCAAACTATTTGTGTATATTACGATTCAGATGCTGAGTAGGCCATTTGGGCATATTTCTCACGGTTATTGGAATAAGGTCGAGCATATCATGAGAGTTCAGTTCTGCACTGTCATGGAGGACTTACACCAGGGAGCATATTCAAGAATGGAGGTCCCGGCCACAAGTCAGACACTGGTTTCGCCAAATATGTCTCGCTCTACTCGTCCCTCCGCCTCTCTCTCTCTCTCCGTTAGCCAACCCAGTTTCCGACACAACCTACTGGTTGTGCACACACGGCTAATTGGAAGGACACATTTTTGTTTTACCTAGTGCGTCATACTCCCAGTATTGTTTTGGACCAGAGTACGAGCCAAGCGTATGAAAAGCCGGTGTCCGGAACTAGATCACTTCTCACATTCCCAGAGGGACTTCGAACCAACTAGGCTAAATTTATCACTGATTGAAACGATTGATGACAGTAGAAATGAAAAACGTGGATAGAAAGCCTGATTAAATGAATTGGGAACAAAACACGCTGAATAGAGTTGGGAGAAAGCAGTGCTAAAAACAGAGTTGATTGTACCGTTAAATCGGTGCGCTCCCGATGCAAGAACAACCAACTGACCTGATTACGCGTGTTCCATTCTGACTGGAATTACGAGGTGGAAGATCTGGCTGCGGAACCGTGCGAGGACGTCGAGTGAGTGAACTCATGCTGGCCTGTTGACCACTTTTAGCCAAATCCGAATGATGTTTCACTGACCGGGCTGAACGATACATCCTTGTTGGTCTAGCGGGACTGTCCGTGCTCTCTGTGGAACTGGTACGGGATGCGCATGTGGTTGTGGTCGTCCCACTGGCAATGGTGATCGGATCCGCGCTGGCTGCTTCATGCCTCGGGGATGGTTGGATACCGGTGGTTAGTTTGGATAACTCACAACAATCGGGTGAATTTTGTCGAGTGGCGTGCATCGCAGCCAATAGTTGTGGTGTTTGATTGGGGTGAGAATCGGCCGATGAGAGAGAGACAGGAGGGATTCGGGATGGATGAATTGGTTTCGGCATCGCTAAGGGAATTAGCCGCGTGTCTGGTGAAGATGGTCGTATCTGACTGCAGCCTAAATCTCGGGGTGAGGTGGTTTTCAGTTCGGTTATAGAGACCTGAGATAAGTAGCACTTCTGTCCCTTTGTAGACTGGAGAAAATCACGTTGTTTGCGTTTCAAATGCGCTTGGATTAATGATTCTGCCTGGGTACAAAAAACGTCAAATTGTATTATGATGAAATCTCATTCAAACAAGAATGATTAACAGCATTTCAATTGGTTCAATTATCAGTACTTAAAAAACACCCCAGTAACTGTGCAAATCACCATGAAATTGTCATATTAGTCTGTGACTTAACACGTGAAGGCAATGTGAATGAATTTCTTTGTGGGTAGGCGAGTGGAAAGCATGTTCCACTGGATGTGGGACAGACAAAATGCGGGCTGTCACAAAGCTCGGACCAGGCACAAATTCAACACAAACAAGACTGAAATGTAATCAGGATAAAGGTCAGCCAAACTTTCAAACTACCATTAAATTTATTTTGAACTTGCTATTTTATTAGAATTAGCCTTATTAAACTGGCGAGAACTAGGTGCTTTGATCCAAGGGTCGGTACAGACGGTAGTGGACAATCGCTAGAAGTCATCAAGTTATCACCCGGAGGACGAGTGTTCGAATCCCGCCCCCAGCGCCTGATTTTTTTCTCATTCTGTGTTGTATGACAACCCTTTGATTGTCCGCTTCACCCTCCTTGCAAATGTTGTCATTATTTACTCAACAAAGAGGAACCAAGATAATAGGATTAACAAAAAGATGTAACAAATTGAGAGTATTTCGCTGCATCTGTACACGTGCATACTGCAGTCCATGTGATCATGTGATCATGTTACCGAGTAACCGAGTGCATCCCGGTCTGGCTTCAGAAAACAATGAGTGGGAACTTCAGAAGTAGGAAACTCAGTTCGTCGATCACACAACCCCTGGTCGAAATGAAACAGTGTCATGCTGCGCGACACGTTCAGAATCCTCTACAACACAAACAACACCAAGGTTTTGAAATACGCCGAGGCACTAGCCATTCAAAATTATCATCCCGAACTGTGCAAACAGCGTGAATGGCTTATCACTCTGCCGCTACCTTGGTAAAAAATGTGTTTGGTGAGTGATTTTGACCACAATCTTTCTCCGCCTATGATTCTGTTATTTACTGACCATATATGAATTATCACATAAACTGCAGTAAGCACGTGTACAGATGCAGCGAAATGATATAGGATACATTGTGTAAACCTGTTTTTGGTTTCTTTATTCAAATTCGTTACGGGGAAACTATGCTTCCAAATTGAGAGTAGTGAAGGATTTGATTCAAAGACGAATGGCGCTATATTAGGTAAAGGCAAAATTAAAAATGGCCTGATCGGCTGCCCGGAGGTCAAGTGGATAGTATGCTTGCGTTCTATCTATGAAGTTCCGAATTCGATTGTCAGTTACATAGATAGATTCGGACTGTTGATGAGACTCAATTAGGTCAAAGCAGCTGCCCAGTGCTACCTAGCCTTTTAGTGATTGTTTCCCTCTCTCCGTAGACGGCTAAATTGATTAGGCATTATGGAAAATTGATGATTCACACCAATGAAATGCTTTCTATCATTCCACGAATCATTTAATCGTCTATGCACACAATCCGAGAGTCGATCAACATCCGAAATGAAGCCTTACGTCTTAAATCCTGCATGTTACAAATGGTAACGTGCAGATGGAATCAACTGCAAGGAGAGGGAAATCTATGGGACTAACTCAAAATCCGGGGGAATAATCTTCCCAACAACTCAATAGTTAGACGGTGATGATTCGATGAACGCAAAAATGAACAGTGTATCGGCAACCGCTGGGCACTGGTGAACAAGCTATCATGAATATTCGGGACAGAATATGACTCATAATCCACATACAATGCCTGCTACCCTTTACATGTTTGGGATGAGTGACAACCATAGGACAATCAATTCACCTCTACCAGACGTTGGGGGGTATCATCAGGTGACTTCTCTCGTTGGCTCATGAGGCAACTATTTCCACATGTCCTTTAAAAGGTGACAATGTTTTCTCTCAGTCATAGGCATGGGTTTACTGTATCAATCTCGTCAACTGCTGATGGAAAATACGCGAAAGGATTCGTCCCGTTACTATTAACACCATCACNTCAAACAAACACATTCTGTGTACGGGTAAGCGTCCGCATCTCGCTATCTAGCAATAAGTCCCTATTATTTTCCCGCATACCACAATCTATTCTACACATAATTAATCAAGAGGTTCACAGATGTTTTGAGACAAATATAGTCTAAACCGAAATCCACTCATAGATCCTTGTCTATTCTGGGGAGGTGAGAATTCGTGAATAGTAATCACACAATTCAGAAGAACTTCAAATTCTGAATGCGATGAATCAGCACGGACAGAGAGATACACATGGGCCACGATTTGACACGACTTAGTTGGTTCATGCACACAAATTAATGTTAGGATTGGCCTACACTATACCCCCACGTG